GGCCCCTTTGGGGCGCCTCTGGGGCCGTCTTGGGACGATCGTTGGGGCCTCTGGGGCCGCCTGGTGCCCTTCTGGGACGGAAAAGGGGAGAACCCGAAAAACATGCAAAAACCCTCAGGGAAACCATACCAACTAGACTTGTGTTCCCCTGCCAGCCCCCTCCCCCATACCCCTCCCTATAAGGGCTTCGCCCCCTCCACCTGTTGGTTTGTCACCGGGGTGCCTGGCCTGCCAGACGCTACCAATTTTGGTGCGAATTCCTTTCCAAAAGAACTCCCCCTGGAGCTTCGGCCCAGAGTGCCGACCACCCGCAAGGCCGCACAATCCTCGCCTCCAGGGCAGCCACTCTGGCCCGTATGGCCTCCAAGATGCCTCGCAGACGGCCAAGATGGCCCCCAAGACTGCCAAGATGTCTCGGAGACGGCCTAAGATGGCCTCATAGGATTGACCTCCAGATGGCCCAGGGCGGCCCAAGAGGCCCCCAAGGAGCCCCCAAGACGGTCCAAGAGGCCTCCAAAAGGTCCTCCAGGAAGGCCCGAAGAACGCACAATCGTTGATCGTCCTTAGGTAGTTTGAAGGATGTTGGCATTTGATTCGTGTCGGCTTCCGACGGGTCAAGGCGGCACACGGGGCCCCCCAGATCGCCCCCCTAACGGCCCAATAAGCCTCCAAGATTGCCCCATGGCGGCCCAAGAGGCCCCCAACAACGGCACCAAGAGGGTCCAAGAAAGCCCAAGAGACCTCCAGGACGCCCAAGATGGCCTCCAAGACGGACATGAAACACCCCAAGAAGGCTCCAAGCCAGAGAGGCTCCCAAAACGGCTCCCGACGGTGCCAGACGGGCCAGGAACGTCCTAAGACGGCCAAAGAGGCCCCCAAGAAGGCTCCCAGAGGCCAAAGGATGCCCACAAGACGCCTGCAAGAGGCCCACAGGAAGCTCGCAAGAGGCCCCAAGAGTGCTCTAAGATGCTCCCCAGAAGCCTCCTCCTCTTCCTCCTCTTCCTCCTATTCCTCCCTCTCCTGGTCCTCCCTCTCATCCTCCCCCAAGTGTTCCCCCGAGTGTTTCCCCAGGAGTTTCTGGATCGGCTGGGAGAACACATAGTCCAACATCTTAGCCAGGCTGGGGCCCAACATTTAGCCACAAAGGCGCTTCACAAACGGCAGAGAGCGGCAGTAATTCGCCGTAAGGCGTCTTCGATATACATATGCATGCAACTGCTCACACATCACATTTACATGTGTACACATCATCATCATCATCAGCAGCAGCAGCATCATCAGCATCATCAGCATCATCGGCATCATCATCATCATCATCATCAGCAGCATCAGCATCAGCATCAGCATCAGCATCAGCATCAGCATCAGCATCAGCATCCGCATCCGCATCCGCATCAGCATCAGCATCATCATCATCATCACCATCATCATCATGATCATGATCATGATCATCATCATCATCATCATCATCATCATCATCATCATCATCATCATCATCATCATCATCATCATCATCTTCATCATCATATACATGCGTGTAATGTTCGGCCCCTGCGGGCGATCGCCAGACCCAGGGACCGCCAGAACACGTCTCGGGATGAAAGGGCAGTCCTCTGGAAGGGGTCCAGATCTCTGGGGGGGGACGTCGAGACAAACAACTCATGACGTCGGGGATCCGGGTTGTCTGTAAAATTTCTGCTCTGGGGGGGGACGTCGAGACAAACAACTCATGACGTCGGGGATCCGGGTTGTCTGTAAAGTTTCTGCATCTTGTTCCCACCGCCCGGTGAGGTAGCCCAGGCCCCCGAGATCGCCCGCCCACCGTGGCCACCCATAAACCCGTGCCCCTCATCGTGTAACCGAGTGAGGCTGCGTTGGGTCTTCTGCCGCAAGGGTGCCATGTTCGGACGCTGGAGGCGGGGGTCCCGGCCTCGGAGCCGCCCAGAAAGCCGGCCGTGGGTGACAGGCAGGCAGGCCCTTGGAGAAGATGCCGAGAAGCCCCCGGCCCCACGCATCGAGAAAAACGAAGCGCCGGCTCTCGGGGGGGGGGGAGGGGCAGAGGAGGATGAGGAGGGGCGAGACAAGGAGGATCGAGCATCGAGGATCAAAGTTGTTGAAAAGTTACGGCCCTGCCGGGACCTTCGGGAGGCCCCATCGTGGCCGCGCCCCGGATTCGCGCCGAGATGCTGGCCAAAACGCGCCCCATCAGAAGTACAGGGGTCGGCTTGTGAAGAGGCGCGAGTGAACGTGGGGGGGGGGGGGAAGGAGGAGCGAGGAAGGAGATGGGTGGGGCGAAATGGACGGACTGAGGCGGAGGATGGGCGAGAAGGATAAAGGAGGATGGAAATGGCGGAGGTGGGTGGCAAGAGGAGGAGCAAGAGGAGGGGAGAGTCGCTGCCATGTCTTCTGACAATATCGATGAAACTGCCTCCACAATAGCTAAAGGCGTGTAGAATGTCTATACCACCACGGCAGAAACAACATAGGGTTTCGTGTTGGTAACCGCGCAGCTCGAACGCTTCAGACAATGGACTCCTATGAACTAGAACTCATGCCCCTACACTCCTTCTGTCGGCTCATTTGCGGCCACTTCCCTCTACCCAGACCCTGCCGACTGCCTTCCCGAGTCTGGCCTCAACCCCCCCTCACTCACTCTCACCCTCCTCTGTCCTCCCCGCCCCTCTTACCCCACTCGCCCTCCGAACATCAATGTCAAGAACGGGCCTCCCTCTGTTCCCATCTGGCGGAGGAGTCGGCATGCCAAAAGGGCACGTGAACCCCGTCGAGCCCTGCAGGCCGCCCCCTAACCTCCGACGGCGACAGAAGCGCAGCAAAGCTGCAAGCGCGCAACTCGGCACCATACCGCCGAGTCCGCCCTGGACAACTGGATCGAATCTACCGCTGGATACCTAAGATGATTCCGTGTTCGGCTGGTCAGCCCCAGGGGCCCTTGAGCCCAGTGACAAGCCGAGAACGTCCTCCAGAGGCCACAAGAACCATCGAGATCGGCAAGGCTCAGCTGGCTTCGATCGCTCATGCGCGCCGGACGACAAGCCTGTCTGGCATCGTCGCGCACCAGGCCCCCAGGGCCGTACCGTGGAGGTCTCCGAACTGGTGTCCGACCAGATGGGACCGGAGGATCGCACCGCACCGCCGACGCATCGCCGCTGCATCGGCAATTCATCGGCGACGTCGGCGACGCATCGGCGCCGTCGGCGAAGAGAATATGGGCTCCACATCGAACCGCATCGCCGATGCATCGCCAATGCGGCGCGATCCACTGCTTTAGCCAGGGCCCGCCTGGGGGCCTGGGCGCCGGGAGTTTGGGGGTCGAAGGACAAGTGTGCAGCAAAACAGATGCCGCGCTGTCAGGGGCGCCTGCCCGTGGCGGCTGGAGAATCCACAGCCCTGCGGGGGACGGGCGCCCCCGACGGCAGAGAAGCTCATGTCATGTCGTGCCAGTCTTCGTGCTCGCTGGAGAGTCTGGCGGTGCGCACAAAGGGGGGTGGGGAAGGGGGGGGGGCGGGCTTCTGAGGGAGGCTGCTTCTGAGAAGTCGCTGAACCCCTGCATCTGCAGGCAGGGCCCGCGCCTTCTAAGCAGCAGGGTGCTTTTGGGAAGCCTTCCCCCCGCTCCCTACCCCCGTCTCGGGGAGACATGAGACTCAGGCTCGGGGAACTCGGGTTGACCTGACGGGGCCATCAGGAAAACGATGAGACCCAATCCAACGCGAGCTCCCGCTGCAAGCCTCACACGAAAACTGGACGGCCGACATCCAGGGCGCGGCGCGCTCGTCAGAAGACGTCGGCGAGCCCGAGTTCCAGCGCTCTCGAGCGTGGCAGACGAGGGCCCGCCCGGCCACGATTGAGCAGGGACCGACCGTCCCGGCATTCCTATAGTCCTACCACGACAGGTTCTTAGATCCCAAAAATGTTCGAACAACAAAAACAATGTTCTTAGAACGTTAACCCGATGTGTTAAACCAAGACCGTCCCAACCAGAAATGCTCTAAGAACACTTCGTGGAAACCACACAATAATTTTAGAACATTGTTTGTAGGGCTATAGGCGAGCCAGGACGCTTTGCCACAGCTTGACACGAGGGGTCCCTTCGACAACTCCGTATTCTGGTGGCATGCGCGCGCGGGCGCCCGCGGCACGCGCGCGGCCCGCCGCCGCGCCGCGCAGCCCGCGGCGCCCGCGCTCCCGAGAGGCCCACGGCCGGCCGGCAGCCCGCCGAGCGGCCCGCGCGCCCCTGCGGCAGCCCTCGGCGGAGCAGGGCGAGCTGAGACAGCGGACTTCGAGCTTCGTCGGGTTCCGTGGGCATCTGGACAACCTCTGGGGCGGAATCTGGCCGGGTTCAGCGGTGGAGGGAGGGGCGGCCGAAATCACGAGGTCCATAGAGGCTCCCATGCAGGCTCACACAGTCGCCCGCGGCCGGCGCGCCGTCGCGGAAAGGCGGATGAGACGACGGCCGCTCTAAATGGGGTCCCAATAGGCCCCCGAGACAGCAACTCCGCACTGTCCTGGGCGGGGTGGGCTTTATCGAATCCCCATCGGCGATCAATGGGCGATTGGACGTCGATGCGTCCCCCGCCCTGCCTATCCCTCCCCCTGTCCTTGCCCCCTGGACGCTCCGGCTCTGGAGCAGCTCGAAGTGGGCCCCCGAACCCATCCCGGGGGCCCCAGCGCACCAGCTGTCTGAGCTGCGTCCAGCCTTGGCGACGAGGGGCCCCCCGAGGGCCAGCTACGCACGCAGCCCCGTCTCGATTTTCTTGTCACAACTTCGGGCGCGTTTTCGGTCGCCCATGGTTTTCGGTCGCATACCCGTTCGGCCGGTAGGGGCTGGGCGTCATGAAACGAATGGTGTCTCAACTGGCCCTCCTCCGACAGCCCCGCGCATCCGTTTGCGCGCGCACGCGCGAGCTCGCGCGCCGCGAGCGCGCGCCGCGAGCGAGCGCCGGCCGCTCAGCCGCCCGCGCCACCGCGCGCGGGGGCGGCCGGTGGCGCAGCGCCGAGGCCCAAAGCCCTGGCCGTGCATGCCCTGGCCGTGCTCCACGCGGCAGCCGGCTGCCAGCGCCACCAGATCGGGCGGCTGCCGCTGCCGCCAGGGCGTCCTCGCTTCCACGCTGCCTCGCTCCTCTGGCCTGCCTGCTCCTGGAGGAGGGAACATCGACCTGGACTCGGCGATACATCGGCGATAGATCGGGGACAGGCGCCCGATGGCCGATAGCCAATCCGTGAGGTCATGGGAGGGGAGGGACTATCGGCCTCCTATCGGCGATCAGTGGGCGAGTTGGGGTCGATGCGCCCCCCCCGAGCCGAATTTTCCCCCGCGAACTCCTGGGCTCATGCCTGGCCCATCCCAACCACCACGCCAACCCCCGAGTCATTCGCCTCTGCCTCTCCAGACCGCCAACGTATTGAAAAATACCCTTGCGAAGAACCAAAACCATTCGACACGCGTGGAAACCCTCAACAAGACCGCTCGATGCACATGAACTCGTTAGGGGGGTTCACAGCACGCCTGCCACTGGGGCCTTCGGTGAAGCTCCCTCTAGGCCCTCGAAAGATGTGAGGGGTGAGCCAGAATGGACCCGAGCACGCATGCGGGCCCTGCCACGTATGAGGGTGTGCCAACATGGACTCGAGCACGCATGCGGGCTCTGCCACTGGGGCCTTCGGTGTAGCTTCCCACAGTAGGGCCACGAAGCGTGTCAGAGCTGTGCCAGACCGAGCGCCGAAACGGTGATGAGAACGTTTATGGTGGTGACCGGTATGAAGATGCATGATGTAGATATTGACGACTCTGATGAAGTGTAATATAAGATGACTTGGAACAATGTAATGACAATTATTGCGATAGCGACAATGATGAGGATGGCGCCAACGACGACGAAGCTAATGATGCTGAGGATGATGATGGTGATGATGATGATGAGGCTGACGGTGATGAATCTGATGACGACGGCAAGGGGATGTTGATGCTGATGAAGATGATGATGATGATGATGATGAAGATGATGATACTGACGATTATGATGATGGTGATGCCGATGCCGACGATGATGTGATACTGATATTGCTGATATTGCTGATTATGAAGATGACTATGAAGCTGAAGATGAAGACGCATGATATCTGATGGCGGTGGTGGTGATGATGACGATGAGGATAATGATGTTGATGTTGCTGATGATGATGCCCATGATGATAATGATGATGATGATGATGATGATGATGATGATGATGACGATGGTGATGATGGTGATGATGGTGATGATGCTGACGATGATGATGATGCTGACGCTGACGCTGATGATGATGATGATTAAGATTTAATTTATGATGCAGATCATGATGATCACGACGATGCTGACTATGCTTATGATGCTGTTAATGGTGCTGATCATGAAGACGACGATGATGATGACAAGGATGTAGAGGAAGACGAGAGGAGATGACGGTGAGGAGCAGAAGGAAGGGGCGCGGCGCTGCACATTCAAAACGAGGGCCCAACGCACGGGAAAGTATAGGAAGAAAAGAATGTAACTTGTTCGCCGTGTTCGGCCGCTCCGGGAACCATGACCGATGTCGGGGTCACTCGCGCCAACTCGAACATCCACCGTCCTCCTCATGCCTCCCCCCGACCTCGAAATCGGCGACCGGCGACCGGACCTCTTCTGGGCCGCGTTCCTGCCACGATTGCGTGGCGGATCCAACGGTTCCGACGAGGGGAACCATGGGCGGCCCAAAGAAATGCAGCCTCCTCCTTCTCCTCATCATCACCATCATTATGGTGCCCCTCTTCCCTCCGACGCTGCGACTTGTTTCACATTGTAGAGTCTCCAAGAACTGTTTGTCATCCCGAATCGTTGTGGTGACGGCTGACCGGTCTTGTAACAGACCCCAGAGATTGAAAATGGGGAACAACCTTCGGTCGCTGTTCCCACGGCGGTGTTTGGACTTGGGGGCTCTTTCTTGTGCTGCCCCAAGTACTCTATGGGTGTGCTGGTGTTTCGCCTGGCGCCTGGTCGGTGGGCGCCCTTGGGCGCCTCGTGGGCGTCTCATGTGCTGGGAGGGTGTGCCGGTGTCTCGCCTGGTGCCCGCCCGTGGGCGCCTCGTACGGTGGGTGGGTGTGCCGAGGCTTCGCCGGGTGCCCGCCTCGTGGGCGCCTCGCGCGCTGGGTGCGTGTGCTGAAGATTCGCCTGCTGCCCGCCCGTGGCCGCCCGTAGGGGCCTCGTGGGCGCCTCGTGCGCTGGGTGGGCGTGCCGAGGCTCAGCCTGGTGCCCACTCGTGGGCGCCCCGTGGGCGTCTCGTGCAGTTGGTGGATGTCGGGCGCTACGTGCGCTGTGCGGTCGCCTAGATTATCCTTTCTAGACTCTAACCCTTCCCCCCCCGGCGTTATTGGTCCCCCTTTCGGGTATGTAAATCATATATGATTATGGCCACATGCCCATCCTGAATATGAATTTACAGGATCCCAGGGGGGCCGGTATCGACCCCCTGAGGCTCCCTGGTAAAAAACAGTGCGCGGGGACAGCTTTTGTTCTGCCATAAGACTTGTTCGCGAATCCCTTGCAAAAATTAAACGAAGTGCGCACGCGCGAACCGTCGCGCGCGCATGCCGAAATCCTCCAAAAACCTTCGGTGTCGGAAGGATTTCGCAATCCAGTTTCCAAAAAATATGAAAACACAGGGTTTCGCAACACTGATTTGCTAAAAAAGCTTACGCGCGAGCTCTTGCGACATCTAAAGAAAACCATGAATTTTTCAAACTTTTCACAAAATGCTACGAGACGGGCTTCGCGCGCGCATGTCGAAACCTGTCGAACGCCCTTGCGCGTGTGCCGTCGCGACAATCTTCTGCAAAAATTAGCCTGACGAAAGACCCAAACATACGTAGTTGTGAATACCGCAATTGTGGATATATTCTTCGGTGGCGCCCCGGGGCCACGAAACGAGTGAACCGCATGCGAGCGCAGCCACTGGGCCGCTCGGTGGAGCTCCCTATGGAGCCACGAAACGTGTGAGGGGTGTGCCAGAATGGGGGGTGGAACCGCTTGCGGGCGCAGCCACTGGGGCCTTCGGTGGAGCTCCCTATGGGGCCACGAAGCGTGTGAGGGGTATGCCAGAATGGGGGGTGGAACCGCATGCGGGCGCAGCCACTGGGGCCTTCGGTGGAGCTCCCTATGGGGCCACGAAACGTGTGAGGGGTGTGCCAGAATGGGGGGTGGAACCGCATGCGGGCGCAGCCACTGGGGCCTTCGGTGGAGCTCCCTATGGGGCCACGAAACGTGTGAGGGGTGTGCCAGAATGGGGGGTGGAACCGCATGCGGGCGCAGCCACTGGGGCCTTCGGTGGAGCTCCCTATGGGGCCACGAAACGTGTGAGGGGTGTGCCAGAATGGGGGGTGGAACCGCATGCGGGCGCAGCCACTGGGGCCTTCGGTGGAGCTCCCTATGGGGCCACGAAACGTGTGAGGGGTGTGCCAGAATGGGGGGTGGAACCGCATGCGGGCGCAGCCACTGGGGCCTTCGGTGGAGCTCCCTATGGGGCCACGAAACGTGTGAGGGGTGTGCCAGAATGGGGGGTGGAACCGCATGCGGGCGCAGCCACTGGGGCCTTCGGTGGAGCTCCCTATGGGGCCACGAAACGTGTGAGGGGTGTGCCAGACTGGGGGGTGGAACCGCATGCGGGCGCAGCCACTGGGTGGGCACGAAACCGGGGCATGCGGGCGCAGCCACTGGGGCCTTCGGTGGAGCTCCCTATGGGGCCACGAAACGTGTGAGGGGTGTGCCAGAATGGGGGGTGGAACCGCATGCGGGCGCAGCCACTGGGGCCTTCGGTGGAGCTCCCTATGGGGCCACGAAACGTGTGAGGGGTGTGCCAGAATGGGGGGTGGAACCGCATGCGGGCGCAGCCACTGGGGCCTTCGGTGGAGCTCCCTATGGGGCCACGAAACGTGTGAGGGGTGTGCCAGAATGGGGGGTGGAACCGCATGCGGGCGCAGCCACTGGGGCCTTCGGTGGAGCTCCCTATGGGGCCACGAAACGTGTGAGGGGTGTGCCAGAATGGGGGGTGGAACCGCATGCGGGCGCAGCCACTGGGGCCTTCGGTGGAGCTCCCTATGGGGCCACGAAACGTGTGAGGGGTGTGCCAGAATGGGGGGTGGAACCGCATGCGGGCGCAGCCACTGGGGCCTTCGGTGGAGCTCCCTATGGGGCCACGAAACGTGTGAGGGGTGTGCCAGAATGGGGGGTGGAACCGCATGCGGGCGCAGCCACTGGGGCCTTCGGTGGAGCTCCCTATGGGGCCACGAAACGTGTGAGGGGTGTGCCAGAATGGGGGGTGGAACCGCATGCGGGCGCAGCCACTGGGGCCTTCGGTGGAGCTCCCTATGGGGCCACGAAACGTGTGAGGGGTGTGCCAGAATGGGGGTGGAACCGCATGCGGGCGCAGCCACTGGGGCCTTCGGTGGAGCTCCCTATGGGGCCACGAAACGTGTGAGGGGTGTGCCAGAATGGGGGGTGGAACCGCATGCGGGCGCAGCCACTGGGGCCTTCGGTGGAGCTCCCTATGGGGCCACGAAACGTGTGAGGGGTGTGCCAGAAGGGAGGGGGAGGAGGGAGGAGGAAGGAGAGGAGGAGGAAGGAGGAAGGAGGAAGGAGGAAGGAGGAACGCGGGGACCGTCTCTTCAAAACGAGGACCCAACAACACAAGTTAGTTGGGAAAAAACGAAATACAGACGCGCGCGTCGTCGCGCGCGTATGCCGAAATCCTTCAAAAGCCATCGGCTTCGGAAGGAGTTCAACACACCGTGTGTCCAAAAAGCCTACAACAAACACAAGGTTGCGCAACACGGATGTTCAACAAAAGCGTGCGCACGCGCTCTTGCGTCGTCGTCGTCGTCGCCGTCCTCCCTCCCTCCTCCCGCGTCGTCGTCGTCGTCGTCGTCGTCGCCTACGTCGTCCTCTGTCTTTCCTCGTGTTCGTCGTCGTCGTCCTCTTGGCGTCGTGGTCGTTTCCGTCGTCGTTGTCGACGTGGTCGTCCTTCCTCCTCCTCCCTCGTCGTCGTCGTCGTCCGTCGTCGGCGTCTCGTCGTCGTCCCTCCTATTTCGTCGCCGTCGTCGTCGTCGTCGTCGTTGTCGTCGTCGTCTTCCCTCCTCCCTGGTCAGTGTCGTCGTCGGCGTCGCCGTCCTTCCTCCTTCTTCGTCGTTCGCGTCGTCGCCGTCCTCCCTCCTCCCTCGTCGTTGTCGTCGTTGTTATCGTTGTCGCCGTCGTCGTCCTCCATCCTTCCTCGTCATCGTCTTCGTTGGCGACGTCGTCGTCGTCTTCGACGTCGTCGTCGGCGTCGGCGTCGTCATCGTCTTCGTCGTCGTCGACGTCGGCGTCGTCGTCGTCGCCGCCGTCGTCGTCGTCGTCGGCGTCGTTGACGTCGTCGTCGTCGTCGGTGTCGTCGTTGTCGTCGTCGTCGGCGTCGTCATCGTCATCGTCGTTGTCATCGTCGTCGTCGTCGTCGGCGGCGTCGGCGTCGACGTCGTCGTCGTCGGTGTCGTCGTCGTCGTCGTTGTCGGCGCCGTCGAAGTCGTTGGAGACGTCGTCGGTGTCGTCGCAGTCGTTGTCGGCGGCGTCGTCGAAGTCGTTGTCGCTGTCGTCGTCGGCGTCGCTGTCGTTGCCAAGTGCCATTTGGTACCCACCGTCACGGTCTTAAGAGACTTTGCAAACCAAGTTGCGGGTGGGTGGGTGGGATGTTTGCGCGAGCAGTGGAGTGGACAACTTACTGCGAACAGAAATTAGTTGCACTACATAGATGTTGCCAAATGCCTTGCACTACATGGCTCACACCACGTAGTTCACACCACACAGCATGTTCCGCACAATTCGCACCACATGGACTGCGCCGCACAGCTTACACCGCATTGACTGCGCACCATAGCTTGCACCCCTTACCGTCCACCATATAGCTTGCACAACATAGATTGTACAACATAGCTTGTGCCATATACGCTACACCACGTAACCTACACCACAAGGCTTACACGCATAGCTTACAGATCCGGAGTTAAATCACTTATGTTCGGGCTCCACGCTGGCAATCGTCTGTTTTCTCAACGCGGGGACGTGTCTGGGTCTTCATGTCTCTTCTCCCGATTCGGCCACACACAAATGGGGACCTTGGACACAGAGGGACGTCTCGTGGGATGCATTCCAGGGGGCCGCGGGGACGCCACGTCCGTGCGCGCAGGAGAATGGTGGGGGACCCCTGTGGGCCCGCACGACAGGTCGCCCCAACGAACATTCGCTCTCGAACCCAGACTTCCTCCGCTATGGTGCGTCGACTCCGCGACCAGCGCGGCTGCACCCCGGATCCGCGCCTGATGGCCCCAGGGCCCGAGAGCGGCTCCCCGAGGACGAGAAGACCTAGCAATACGCCGTCGGAGGCGCCGCCGGGGGGCCCCAGCGCCGATCCGAGAAATCCGCGCGGACCTCCGAGTTTCTATGTTTATGCCACTCTTTGTTCCCCGATAGCTAGCTCCTTCCCTCTCCTCTGCCGTTCCGAGGCTCCTGCCGGGCCCGCTGGTGCACGACTCCTCCGGGGCGGGCGGGCGCGCGGGGCCACCTGGCGCCCGCTGCCCAGAAGACCTCACGGGCACCCGGACAGTCCCAGGTCTCAGCCACCGGCCTCCACCCGCGCCTCGATACAATCACGCCTCGATAGATTTGAGCGGACCTCGGTTCAAAGGGGTCTGTAGCAGAAATGCAAGTGGACCTCAGTCGGAGCAGTGCTTGTCAACAGTTTCGGTTTTCTCAGAGGGCGCAGTGGGGCAGAGAACGAGCCGCATCTAGATCAGCCCCAAGTTGGCCTCGAAAACGGCTCCACCTGCGCCTCGATTGAATCGCCCCTCGTCGGCGTCCCTCGTCCCCAGACATCCCGCGTCTCGATCGAATCGAGATGGCTGGTGTGCCCTCCGCTCTTGGCCTCTGGAGGCCAGTTTCGGGCCGCGGGGCTATCCAAAAAGCTCGAGGGGGAGAGTCCGATCTGTCTAATGCGTGGCTTGCCGATCCTTGCGTCCAGTGCGACAGAAGCGGTCTGCGCGCTTGCGTCAGGCCACCCCTCGGTCCCTAAATGTCGCGCACCGAAGTCCACCCGGCCGAAGGGCCACTCTTCGCACGTACAAGCAATTTCGCTGATCCCCATGCTGGGGTTGCTGGGCCAGGTGCCCCGCATTGGCTCCGTCCCCCCCTCACCTGCGACGCAGAAGGACATGCTAGCACTATGTACTTCTGTTGGAGGCGCACGTGCGACCCGAACATACATTGGCGGCGCGCACAAGGGGTGGAGGGAGGGAGGGGGGGGCTTCTTAGAAGGAGGCTGCTTCTTAGAAGGCACCAGCCTTACATCTATAGATAAGGCCCGCGCCTTCTAAGAAGCAGGGGTGCTTCTAAGAAGCCATGCTATGGCTGAGTATAATACAGCCATGCTATAGCAGATCGTTCCCTCAACGGTATGACGAGAAAGTGCCCGCTGCGGAGAGAATGCTGTAAGACGTCTGAGCGTGCGCAACGCCTCTGCGGGGTCAACTCACACATGATAGGATTACCCATCGGTCAGAAAGCGCCGGTGGAACCGTGAGGTAGGAGAGCGCTGCAAGTAGCTTGGGTGTCCGTCAGCCCCCCAAAGAGGACGGAAGAGGTGGAGCCACTCGATCCTAGAAGAAGGGAGGCGCCGAAGGCAGACTGGGACCTGGGCCTCCAGAGATGCCTGCTTGCCACGACCCGATGGGCATGCTTTTGGGTGATGCCGATCACCTCAGTTCACGCCGGACAGCGCCCGCTTCGGGGTCCTCCAGTCGGCGCCGTACAGCTTCTCGACGCAGGCGCGCGGCCGAGCGGGCGCGGAGAAGTTGCGCCCGCGGATAGGCACGGTGGCCGTGCCCAGCGGCTCCACGCAGTCGACCAGGTGCAGGTCCTTGATCTGCCACCAGTCGCTGGCGTAGACGTCCAGGTGGAACTCCGTGCCTGGAGGGGGAGGAAACGAGGGCCACCGCCGAGGCTGGACGCGGAGGCCTCGGCGTCGCTCTTGGTTGTCCGCCTTGGTCATCGTCTGTTCGTGAGCCATCTTCGCGAATCGGCGACAACCAGCATGGACCATGACCCAGAGAGGCGTCGATAAGAACCCTATACTGGACATGGTCATTCTGTTTCTTCCCTCGAGTGCCTCGGGTAAACCTGTCCCCGTCGGGCCCTCCGATGACCGACGCGGCAAAACCCTCCCAATCCGCGCACACCCGCGAGACTCGCTCCTCCCACTGGTCCACACCAAACATGTAGCGCCGGCCGCCGAAGAAGTCGGCCGCCTCAAGTCCGCGCTGGAGCTGGGGCCAGTGCGAGCGGTCTACCACTATGTCCACGTCCTGCGTCCACGGCAAGATATCGTTGTCCCGAAGCGCCCCCAGCAGCGTCCCGTACGTGACGAAGTATGGGATCTGCTGCGCTGTCAGGCGTGAGGAGGAGGAAGAGCAGGAGGAGGAGGAGGAGGAGCGGAAGAAGGGTGTAGCAACATCAGCGATAAGGACGGACCGTAAGGATGCAAGACCCTTGGAGCGGCGCGAAAGCGAAGGATGCGCGAGCCCAACGTGCTGACGAATGGTCAAAACCGGAGGATGCAAGGTGCCCTGTCGATAACGGCTCGTCCCTAAGGCCAATTTTGGCTGTGGGAGGGCCTGTCAGCCACTCCGTCACGTCCGTCAGCATCAGAAGCATGTAGTCGCTGCAGCAGCCGTACGGCGTCGCCAACGACCGGCCCACGCCTCTCGCGCACAGCGATGCGTTTCTCTCGCAGCGTGGTGACCGGCACGACAAGCCCTGCGTGGTGGGAAGCAACGACAGCTCCTGCGTGGGGGGGGAGGGGAGGAGGAATAGAGGACGAGAAGGAGGATCAGCGCAAACCATCCCTCACAATTTCCTCTTCAGATGTACCTACAACGATAAATTGCAAACGTGGGATGTGCCACATTGAAAGACAACCGTCTGAGAATCTGCAATGGTGCCAGAACACTATGCCTGGGAACTCAAAACCGCGCATCAACGTGAAAATCTCGACCGTGCAATTCTGACTGATGCCAAACGGCATACCAACCTTAGGACATGAACGCCGCGCATCAACGAAACTGTTGTGCCCTGACAACCCTGCATCGTGCCAGAACGCCATTTCTGGGTATTCAACCCTACGAATTCTTGAATATGCTGCAATTACGACGAATGCGCGCGGAGACAAGACATCAAGCACAATTTCAATTAGGAACCGCCTTTCATCCTTGAAACGGTTGCAAGCTTTTTAAGACGAATGCGCGCGGCGATCGAGCGAGCGCCACACTTTTGAACAGAACCGCCCTTCATCCTTGAAACGGTTGCACGATGTTGTGGCGAATGTGCGCGGCGCTATGGCGAGAGCCACATGCTGAAAACCACCCACCCTTCATTCTTGGCACTGTTGCAAGCCGGAATGTGCGACGAATTTGCGCGGCGATAGAGCAAAAACCAGATTTTGAAAACCACACGCCCTACATCCTCGAAACTGCTGCAACCTTGTAACACGAGTGTGCGCGGCGAGAATGCGAGAGCCCCAAAAAATCCGCCCTCCATCCTTGAAGGATCATGGATCTGGGATCAGGATCCCTGCTGATGCAGAGTTCAAGCTCCAGGATCATACATGGTGAGGAAGTCGTCTCAGGCGAAATGCCCCGCCCGCACCAACGACACGTGTGGGGATGCGACAGGGGGGAATTCTTTTTGAGGGAAACGGGTGGAGGAGGGGGGAGGGCATGAGGAGGGGGCGGAAGAGGGGAAGGATGGACGAGAGGCAGTGATGACGAGGACAAGGAGGAGCAGGGGCGGCACGTGCACGAAAGGGTAGCAGTGTCGCTCAGAGGTAAGCGGGGGGGGAGAGGAGGGGGAGCAGCAGAAGGAAAATCGGCACGAGGAGGAAGGAGGAACAGGGAGAGCACGAGAAAGAGCAGCAGTGCCAGCCACAGTCACAGGGGAACGAAGGGGCAGGAGGGGGCAAGGGTGGGCGCCAACTGCCGACCATGGCCAGACACCCCCTTGGGACCCAGGAGCGTCGGAGACGCCCCCGCTAGACTCGAGGGGGCTGGGCGTCTTCCGACCTCGGGCCCCGTTCTGCAACAACTTTCGCACCCTATCTCTGAGGGCCCTCTCCTCGCCAGAAAATCGGATGCCCCTGAAGGGGCTCGCTTGCCTGCAGACGCCCTTCACAATCTGCCACAGCTTGGCCTTTATTTCAACAACCAGACCTGGGTCCGCACGCGATTGCCAATAGTTACCTGTGCCATGGCCTGGTCAGAACTGGCCTACGCAAGCAGGCGGATAGTGGCACCCCCGGACGAGGCAGCAGAAATAGGAGGTCAGGGGTCAGAAGCAGGCCCATCTCCCTAGGGGCGTCCCCAAAGACCAACGTGTCTTACACTGTCTCTCCGTTGACGGCCCTGGGGCCCATCAAGGGTGCGGGACCGGGGGGAACACATATCGATACTGCTAGTCCCCGAACCTCTCCCAGGGTGCGTTTTGACAAGAATGTCGAAGATAATCCAGCCGTGGAGACGAAGGCCCTCCAGGACGAGCAGATGTATCGTTACCTGTTCTTCCCACGAGGCGACTTGAAAACGAGGGGAGTGATCTCAGAGATCCCTTTGGCTATTCGGACCCCTGCTCCCCCATGCCGAGCAAGTGTTGGCGGCGCCCAGAAAGGGGGCGGCCCGAGGCCCGCGGGGGACAACCTTCTAGTAAGGCGGCGGGGCTGCTAAGACAGCAGGAGGGGCTTCCTAGAAGCCTCTGGAGGCGGCAAGAACTTAAGGAGGCGGAGGGGTTCGAAAGCATGGGCCTCCTTAGAAGGCCCCGGACGCCTCGAGGAAGCCTTCTTGTGAGCCCCCACGCCCTCTCAGAAGGCCCTTGCCTTCTGAAGACGCCCTTGATGGGCCTCTTTTCCACCACCACCACCATAAGTTGGAGGGGGGGAAGGAGGAGGGCGAGGAGGAGGAGGACGAAGAGGAGGAGGAGGAGGAGGAATGAATGAATGAATGAATGCCCTTCCTGGTCCCATATGTCTCTGCTCTGCTGCTAAGTGTGCTCTACAGCGTGCGCTAGTGCATCGATCGGACGAAGACGTGCTGCAAAATCGGCTGGAGTTCGGCCTACTCGACAAAAAAATCTGCCAGGCCAACGAACCCACCGACCCGACACTCCGAACCTCCAAAAGGGCCTATGGAGCCTAGGAGGTCAGAGCAGGGCAGGGACACCGCCTCGTGACCCAGCCTGCTCGGGCCCGAAACTGGGGGCACCCACACTCGAGGCATCCGACAGTGGGCAGGAAATGCCCGCCCCAGACTCGGACGCCGCGGCGGAGGTGCCATCAGCCTCGACGACGAATTACATCTCGACGAGCGCTCTGTGCTCGAGCGTGCCGATCGAGATACACTACTTCACGCATCAGAGGAGGAGGAGGAGGAGGAGGAGGAGAAGAGGAAACAGCAGCGGCAAAATGGGCGGCCTCAGATCCCGCTCTCTGACGTCGCTCAGCTGCTCGTAGTAGCTGTCGAAGCTCAGTAGAACTATTTCCACCAGCAGTTGAAGAAAACGAAATCCCTGCAGAAGTATTCCCACCAGCAGTCGAAGACGAGCCAGCAGTATTTCTTTCCGCAGTCGAAGAAAAGAAAGAGCCAGCAAGAGTATTTCTTCTCGCAGTCGAAGAAAGAGAGCCAGCAGGAGTATTTCTTTCTGCTGTCGACGAGGAGCTCGATCCGTTTACCGATACCTCTCCTCGTGCGTCCGACTCTCGCCAAGCTCCTCTAACACCTGCTGCACTCTGCGCGCTATGTCTGACGATGGCGCCATCCCGTACTTGAATATGCCGCCCTGGCTGCTCAACAATGTTTTGGCATGCTCCCATGCCGGCCATGCCACGGCCGCTCTGTTCACTTTGATCTCTATCTTCGCGTAGTCCCGTGCGTACGTTTTCTTCACGCGGCAGTAAGGGATGTCCTTCTGCAGGGCGTGATGAAGGGCCTGCATGCCCTTGGACTCCTTGATCTGCGTGTAGTTGGAGGTGTAGCGCTCGAAGTCCGTCAGGAGGAGGAGGAGGAGGAGGAGGAGGAGGAGGAGGAGGAGGAGGACCCTCTCCCCCTCCAACTTATGGTGGTGGTGGTGGTGGAAAACAGGCCCATCAGCCCTTGCCCCTCGCCTCCTCGGTGAGCCGCTCCCCTCGCGCCGTCCCCCTTCTGGGCGCCGCCCACGCACAGGCTAGCACGTCCGAGCTTGGCACGGAGACAATCATGCCCGACGGCAGATGTTGATGGGCCTGTTTTCCACCACCACCGCCATGAAGTTGGAGGGGGGAAAGGAGGTGGAAGGTTGAGGAGGAGGAAGAAGAGTAGGAGGATGACCCCCTCCCCCTCCTACTTGTGGTGGTGGTGGTGGAGAACACGCCCATCAGGTGTTGTCCAAACTCGACAACGGCCGCTGCTGCGCAGGCGTCTGATCCTCTCAGATGTTTGGACGCCCGAAATGGGTACGGAAAGAAGTGTGCAATGCCCAACAACAAAATGTTGCCCCAAACCAACAGCGGCCGCTGTTGGGCAGGCGGCCTTCTGTCTCGAATGGACAGAGGCCGCGGCGGCGTGGACAGCGAGTCCTCTTCGAAATGATCGGGAACTGCTGTTGGGCATTGCACCCATTATTTCCGTACCCATTTCGCTCGTGCAGAGAGAACGCCCACGACGACGCCGACGGCGAACCCAGGAAAAACGGGGCAGGAAGGTCGGTCTTCGCACCAAGTCTTTCCCCTAGCAACCCCTCCATCGTGCCGATCAGCACCCGATGCTCCAGGACTCGAATATCTTCGCCTCCGGCCCCTGTCCGCGGCGTACCTTTTCCTGTGCAAGATCTTCGGCACCGCCTGCACCCCGGGCCCCGCCCACTCCGGCCGCCTGAGGCCGCGCCCGCCTGTGCCCTGTCTCCCTAATGAAAGCTGTGCGTAGCCCGCCTAGCTTTTAGCGGGAGAGGTTCGCTCTCGCCCCGCCGACCAAAAAGTCAGGACTCGAATAGGGTATCGACCACAGAATTGATTGACCGTGGAATGTGCGATTTCGGGCGGAACTTCGAAGGACAAGTAGAGTGCTCCGCAGATCTATTGAGCATCCGATGTCTTTTAATCGTAGAGTCGACGAACATCCATTCTGGGTAAATCGCTTCTGCAGGTCGATCCCTCACTCGTCACTCAAAGGACCCGTCAACCCCCGTGGCCAGCAGCGAGGGGGCGGCGGCGGCCCAGGCTCCCGCTCGTGGGCCGCGGCCGCCGCCGCGCTGCCCGGTCGCAGGTCCCCCGGCGCAGGCTCCTCGCCGGGGCCGCCGTAGTAGTCCTGATGATGGGCCAGTTCTCCAAGACTACTATTTGTAGGACGGGGGAGAAGAGAGGATGAGGAGGTCCTCCTCCTCCTGCACCTTCTCGTCCTCCTCCTCCTCCTCCCCATCCTCATCCCTCTCCTACCTATGGCAGTGGTGGTGGCCAATGGGATGGGCCCATCACCTGAGGGGCCACGTAAGGGTGGGGGGGCGCCTCCGGAGGGGAAGCATCGAGCTAGCTACTGGCGACAGCCGACAGATCGGCTGCAGGCCCCCGATAGCAAATCCGCGTGTTCCTGGGCGGAGTGGGTTATCAGGCCCCTATCGGCGAACGATGGGCGATTGGTCGATGCATCCCCCCTGGGCCTATCCCCCCTAGCGTTGCCTCTGAGGGCCGCCGTAAGGGTCCCGCTCGTAGCCGTAGCGGTCGTAACCGTACCTGTGGCCGGCGGGGCCGATCGCCAGACGCGCTCGCGTCGTGGAAAGAAACTCAACGGGAACAGTTCGAGATGAATTTCGGCCAATAGCCCTCGCCGGGGGGCCAGGACCGTCAGAAACCGACTCGGGATCCTGGGAGAAGGGTCGAGATTACGGGGATCCCGCACGGAAGACATCGGGACATTTCGGGTCGGGCGAAAGGGGGGGATAGCAAAGGGGGGGTTGAGAATCAGCTCACGTAGCTGATTCTCCCGGCGCCTCCCGGCGCCGGAGGCAGCTACGTATCGAGGAATGAGCCCCTTCGGTGGGGCCGAAACAAGCTGCATGCAGCAGATTTCGCACCCCCCCCTTTCCCAATCCCCCCCTTTCGTCCGGCCCGAACATTGTATGTCTGGGTCTGGACGTCTCTCGGAGGTTCCTGGGCCACGGTGGGCGCTCGCCAGCAGCCGCGCCTCGTCGAGAGCCGGCCCTGGGGTTTGCCCGACGCGCCCCGACTTGCCCATCTCAGATGCCTGCGTTGCCTCCTCGCGCCGTGGGCCAAACCTTGGGGGAAGGGCTTCGTTCTGATTGTGTTCTCGATCTATAGCAGCGCCATTTCGGGAAAGGGGGTGGGAGCCTCTAGCAGCGCCATTTGGGGAAAGGGGGGAGGGAGCCGGAAGGGACGACTGCGCCGCGGGCAGACCAGACGAGAGACCACGTGCACACCGACCGGACATCCGGGCAGCTCCACGGAAGCACCAGCAACGAAACTGGGTGCACGCCCGACGCTCCCGTGTCCGGCCAACGGCAGCCACAGCGGGAGGGTCAGAAGGACCCAGAGATCCGATGTCGTGATTGTTTCAATGCGCGGTCCCCGGAAGTCTCGACCCATTCCCCAGGACCGGTTTTTCATCCAGAGTCGTTTTCTGACGGTCCTGGGGCCCGGCGAGGACCCCTGGAGGCCGAAAATGGTGAAAGACCTGCGTCCTGATTTTCTCAATGCGTTGGATCTCTGGGGCGGGAGGGTCAGAAGGAAGCGGACGAGAGGGGAAGGAGGACGGCAGCAGGGCTTCAGGGCCGCCCTGGGCCGCCCCTGGGAAGGGGGGGGAGGGCCGCCCGTGGCCCCCGGGGCCGCCGGAGGACAGCTCGGGATGACGGCTGGTCCTGGAGAAGGGGGGGCGGCCAGGGGGGCGGCGTGAGGCGAGAGAGAAGACCCAGATGTCCAACGCATTGGAACAATCAAGACGGAGGTTGTTCACAATCTTCGGCCTCGCTCGGACGTCCATTCCCTGTTTTTTGTCGGTAAACGTGCGTGGCTTTTTTCGCCAAGTGATCAAGGATGCTCCTCGATGGCCCTCGCCGAAGGAAAAATGCACACATCCGAGCGATGCCAAGCAATCTTCGGCCTCTAGGGGTCCTCGCCGGGCCCCAGCACCGTCAGAAAACGACTCGGGATGAAAAACCGGTCCTGGGGAATGGGTCGAGACTTCCGGGGACCGCGCATTGAAACAATCACGACATCGGATCTCTGGGGGGACGCACCCTCGCGTCAGGAGGCCCTCGGCAGCTTGACACGCGCGGGCATGGGCCCTCGGCAAGGCTCGGGGATGGACAGCACCCCCTTTAGCAAAACGTGGTTTCGTGACAGCGACCTCGGGCCCAAACCTGGCGGGCGCAGGCCTGCAAAATGACGGCCGCGGCGCCCTCTCAAGAACCGAAAACGGAGAAGTCACTAATCGACGTGTAAAGCCGCACGGGGGCCGAACGGGGCCGCTGTCAAACCCTGCTTCCTCCCCCAGCCCGTCGGCGCCCGTGGCTGTGTACGGTCTCGGCAAGTTCTGCTAGAGTGGCTCCTTCCGACCGTGTGGACTTCTGACTTCTGGTGCCCCTGACGGTCTTTCGCTGAAGGGCATAAGCGTCACGGGCCACGGGGGAAGCGCTGAGCAAAGGACCGACCGGCCCGGCATTCATAGGTCTATCTTAGAAAAAGGGACGCTCGAAAACATTAGCAATGTTCCTAGATCGCACAGCTGATGTCCAAAAAAGACGGCCTACATGTGATCAGAACATGTAGTGCAGATCACAAAAGGTCCTTAGAACAATATTTTCGGGCGTTGGCAAAGCTGGGTTTAGTGAGACCTGCTTTGGTGACGTGCACCGGGTGACGCCCCCCCGCCCCAATCCACGAACCCAAACTGCCCCAACCCGAAGAATCAGCAGCTACGGCAGAGCGGATATAGTGATTATGGTCACTGTTCTGGGCTTGGGGACCAATCAGCCACCGCGCTCCACTTACCCAGTGTCCTGCCTATGCCAAATGTTTGGTAGGTCTGCAAGCAAGCCAGGACGCCTCGCCACTGCCTTAGAACGGGGCCGCTGCCGCCGCAGCGTTGCACCCCCCCTGCCGGTCGGCGCCCGTAGCTGTCCCGCGCCCTGCCGCCGCTGCCGCCCCTCCCGTACGAGTCGTAGGGGTAGCCACCAGCGGAGCCTGCGGAGTTGAGCGACAGACCACCCTGAGACACTGTAAGACGAAGCCAGGACGAGGATCAAATCAGGTGAAGATATATCGGGACTTCTGGGATCTGGCGGCTCTGGAAGATGTCTCGAGCGCCGCGGCCCTCTCAGAGCGTTCCGGAACGCTCTGAGAGCGCTCCGGAACGCCCTGGAACGGATGCATTTTTCTCATGCTGGGCGTTTTCGCCCGGTTCCGGGGCCCGGGATCATCACAACGCGATCTGGCTTGAGAAACGATGCATAAAAATGCCTTCGAAGGTTCTGGTCGCGATGTTTCACGATGCTGCACTTTTGTGCACAACATTGGATATCAGGGAAGATAGCTTTTGTTTGTTATGTTTCGCGGTAGCGGCCGTTACAAGCCCCAGCCGCACCCCTCCCTCCCCTTCCCGGGTGACGCCACGTCTCGTGCTGACCTCGGAGTTGGCTCTGGATCTGGTTGATCCTTGGCATGGGCCTGTCCTCCTACAGGGAGGTTTTGGGCGACAAATATTCCTACTAAATGTTCCCCAAATGCTCAAAGGCCCGACTTAATGCTAGATCGTCGGCTCACTTCCGTGTGGGTCTGCCAGTTGACCTTTGCGCTGGCCATGGTTGCGTGGCCGCCAAGAGGAACGAAGACGCTCACCGAGCGGGGGGTGGGCGCCCGCCCCAGGGCCTCCAGATACTTCGGAGGCGACTCCTGGGAGGCCTTCGCGGAAACAATCACGGGCATTAAGCCCGACCAAGGGGCCATTGAGCCGGACTAGCCCAAACTGGACGCAGGATCAAACCAAATGCAGCCCGACGAAGC